CCAAGGGCGCCTGGTTGGCTCAGTCGGTTAAGCGTCCCACTTCAAGTCATGATCTCACGGTTCGTGGGTTGGAGTCCCATATCGGGCTCTGTGCTGACAGCTCAGAACCTGGAGCCTGCTTCAGATACTGTGTCTCCTTCTCTCCCTCTCTTTCTCTCTCAAAAATAAACACTAAAAAAAATTTTTTAGGTTGAATGGACCAGATTAGTAATGACAAAGTGACAGTAAAAATTAAAAATGAAATATACTACCTGACTGTACTTGGGTGTTTACATTTCCTTAAATCTTATTCTAAACCAAATTTCTTAACTGGTGACGCAAAGACCCCTCCCCAGCAGAGAGCATGGCGAAGCTGCCAATCTGTGAGCCTGTGGAGGCTGCATGCGATCCATCGTTTGTGCGGCTGTACATATGTGATTTGGTGATGATGGAAGGAGCCTCTAGCCTTCATCAGATTCTCAAGGACACACTTGATCCCCAAAAGGTTAGGCAGCACTTACAAGTGCTATTCATTAGTACCGAAAATTTCCCATGTCAGTGCAACGATTTCATTTCTACAGGAAAAGTACAGCTCATCAGAAAGCATTCTATGTCCTTCTTGACTCAGAGAGAGCCCCTGGCCTGTAAGACACATTTCTGTCCAGGCTCCATCTTACTCCAAGGCTGCGTGAGAGCCAGTCCTGCACTGCAGCCCCCTGGTGGCCACCCTGAGAACTGCAGCCACAGTCCCTGGTAGGGGAAACTGGGGAGTCCAGGTAGCCCTGGATGACACATAGGAGTGTGGGTGGATGACACATGTCACAGGGCTAGATGGGCAGCCGGTACACTGAAAGACAATTTTCTAAAAATTATTAATAACTATGTAATTCTGTTAATATGCATTAGGAAAATTTAAGAAGTTGATTTTGTGTCATGATGTTCTAATTGTGTTAATAATAAGACAGGTGGATTTGGCAAAAGAAAAACCCCAATGATACATACATAGTGAAGTTTGGAAAACAGTGATCTAATTCAACCCTCTCGTTTTCTGATGAGGGGAGTGAAGGGTGAAGAAGTTAGGAAACTATGTCAGGTCATATAGGGCTGGTTAGTAGAAGACATGGGACCAGCACTTGGGTTTCCTGACCTGAAATCCAATGTTCTCTTAAGATACTATCACAGCTCTTTTGGCTGGAGGTGTCCGAAGAGAGGCTGAAGGAGCATACAATGAATGTATGATCACATTCATTCATTCAATGAACATTTATGGAATACCCGTTTGGGGTCAGCCACTGTTCTAGCCTCCAGGAATAGAAACATAAATACAACACAGTCTTGTCCTCAAGGACTCACAGCCAGAAGAGTCGACAGATACTCAAGGAAACAGATTTATTGACTCAAGACCCAAGACAGGAGTGAGGCAACTCAAGGTAATTCAAGGGGAGCACCGTGTGATTTCTGGACAAGGCCTCACAAGGATGGTAACTGAGCTGAGTCTCGAACAATGAGCAAGAGGTGAAAACAGTGGGACACGTGCAAGATCATAGAATTCACAGACATTCTCAGCATTTAGGTAACTTCTACTCCTTCAGTACGTGTAGCTTGTAGGTGTCAGTGATGGTTAGTTATATTCTGGGCTCCTGATGGCGATGAGCTAGATTGGAATGGCACTGAATGCCATGGTAAGTAAACAGCACAGATTTTATCCTGAAAACAGTGAAGGCCACTGGGCATGACCTGATATGCCCAGCTGTGGCACTGCAGAGGATGACTGAGAGGGAAGAATATTGGAATCGGAAACACCAGCAAGGAAACCATTGCAACAATCCAGACTAGAAACTCTAGAGCAGAACCAAGGCAGTGACATGAGTCGGCAAAGTGGTTGGGAATGAGCTAAGGCTAGACCGTAGAGTCAACCATGAAATTGGAAGTGAGGGAAAAGGAGGCGCCAAGTACATTTCAGAGTTCTTACTTGGGTAACTGGGTAGATGACGTAAGTCACTGAGAGTGTGGATGTGGGAGAAGGAGCTGACTGGGGGAGAAGGAGAGTGAATCTCATAAATAGACAGCTTTAAGATGAATTTACTAATGGCAAGGATAAAAAGATCCTAAACATTTTAGGATAAAATAAAGATAAAGAGACAGCAAACTTAGTAAAGGTCAGTGAGATGTTCAAAAGGCTGAATGGTAGGGTGCAACTCTGGAGAGGGATCAGGGCTAAGAATATAAACTAGAGGAAAGTCAGTATGTTAATGGCACCTGAAGCCCAGGGATATCTGAGGTCACCCAGAAGGAGAACATATAAAGTGAGAAGACAGGATAGGCTAGAAAAGAAGACAGAGAAGCATAGATATTAAGAAAACAGGGAGAGACTAGAGTTGTCAAAAGGCCGAGGAGAATGGCCAGCTGTGTAGCCAGAGAACCAGGAAAAGGGTGAATCGTGACAGCCTAGAGGAGAGTTTTCAGGATGAATTTGATCGACCCAATGTTCCAGACCACACCGTGATACAGAGCACAATAAGAATGGAAAATGCCTTTTAAATTTAACGAGAAATCATTGCTGATGGCAGCAGTGATAGAGATAGAAATCAGATCACAGATAAGCATCAGGTCAGATATCAGACCGTGGAGGTCAGGTCCCATTCACTCCGAAAGTGAACGTGAACTAAGAGCATAGCATGCAGGTAACCCCTGGGGGAAATGGACAGAAGATATCAGCAAGGCAAGCCCATGGTTTATATTGGCTCAATAAAGGGTTAATAAAGGCCTCCACTTCTATGGGGAGAATATTAAGTCAAAGCCTATGAAACTATTTTTTCATATTTATAAGTCACAAACAGTCAGATGTAAGGAATGTCAGATGTAACCCAAGAGAGTGAGGATGGGTGATCCTGACTGTATTTTAGTCCTCGCGTTCTGTGAGAAACTCAGCCAAGATCGGCGCATCGCTCTCCATTCAAATCACATGTAGGCTAAAAAGACAATAACAGACAAGCCTCTGCCAGCTCAGCAAGCTCATTCCAAGCCAAGACTCACACTAGGCGGCCAGCTCTGTGGCCCAGGCTCAGCACCCACCTGCTGGGGGGTCTGCACAAGCCCCTTCACCTCTCCTGGGCCTTGTACAAATAAATATAAATACAGATGATAATGATGTCGATCTCCATAGAGATACAGATAATAAAATAGCTCTACCTCCTAGAATTATCTTGAGGATTCAATAGGAATTACCTCCCGTCCAATGAAGGAAGACTAGACAAGCAAAACGTGGTACAGCTGCACCACGAAATGCTGTTCAGCCTTACAGAGGAAGGAAATTCTGATACAGGACGCAACATGGATGAACCCTGGGGACATTATGCTGAGTGCAACGAGGTTCCGAGAGGAGTCAAATTCAGAGCCGGAAGCTGGGGGCAGAACGGGGAGTGGGGAGTCCGTGTTTAATAAGGACAGAGTCTCAGTTTAGGAAGATGGAAAGAATTCTAAAGATGGATGGCGGTGATGGTAATGCAACAATATGGATGAACTTTACATTTCTGAACTGTACACTGAAATGGTAAATTTCATGTCACCTATGCTTTATTGCAATAAACATGGAAAACAGTAGTTAATTCCTAAAGCACTTAGTCACCGTTCTGCAAACGTTGTTAAATACACAGAAACACAATACATTGGCAGATGCTACATGACCCAAGACAGAAGTGAAGACAGGAAATAACCCCAAAGGAGAAAAGAAAGCAAGAATTCAGTAGAAAGTCAAGTTGGGAAAGACCCCGTATGAGCGAGAAAGGGAGGGGAAATGATACTGCAATGTCGATGAAAAACTGCATAGGAAAAGGAGGTGGAATCCACCTGCTCTTTAAGAAGCCCAGTAAAAGTTCACTCAACAAATATTTATAAGGAAGCACTAGAGGTGCGGGGCACTCTGCCACATGCCGCCAGCGAAACAGCAGGGCAAGAACATGAGAAAATAATCAGCATCACTATTAAGACAGGCTGTGGGGGGAGCACCTGGGTGGCTTAGTCGGTTAAGCGTCCGACTTTCACTTAGGTCATGACCTTGCAGTTCGTGGGTTCGAGCCCCACGTCGGGCTCTGTGCTGACTGCCAGCTCAGAGCCTGGAGCCTGTTTCAGTCTGTGACTCCCTCTCTCTCTGACCCTCCCCTGCTCACGCTGTCTCTCTCTCTCTCTCTCTCTCCTAGAAATAAATAAAACATTAAAAAAAAAAAGACAGGCTAGAGAAACCAAGACAAGTGCAATGCACAATGCCACGGACCCTTCATAGGAATGAGCAGGACAATCTTGTGGTTGTCGGGCCACCTGGAAGTTGGAAGTACAGTGTGGTTGCTGTGGCCATGCTTACAACTAAGGAGAAGCAGACCTGAGCTGTGATTAGGCCAACAGCATCCGTCACAAACCCGTTCCCTCGCAAGCCCTTCCCCAGGAGACAGGCAACTAGCAGGTAGATGAGAGCAGCGGTTCTCAGGCTTTTCAGACATGCCAGCACCTGGGACCCACCCCCAGAGAGCCTGACTCAGTCCGTCTGGGTGAAAGCTGAGCGTTTAAAGAGTCTCCAGGTGATTCAAACGCACAGCCAGGATTGAGAGTCTCCTGTACTACAAAGAGCGATGGCCCCTGTGTATCCGGATCCCAGGGGACCCTTGGGCAGCAGTAACAGCAGAAGCTGATCCGCAGCTGGAAGTGAGAGGCAGGAGAAGGGTGTGCTTTTCCCCTTCAGTCAGTGAGGACCACCTCTGGCTCTTCCGGGCCTGACCAAGGGGCCCCTGACAAGAGGAACTCCCTCCCTCCTCCTTCCCAGGGAAGCCTGCTCTCCAGGCTGTGCTGGGGGAGGCTCTCTCCCCTTCAATTAGCAGAAGCAGCTTCTTAGGGGAGCGTGACCCACACAGGCCACTCCCCCCGGAAGGGACCCCCACCTGCCCAACCAACAAAAAGGGCCGCCGAGGGTCTCCCCAGGTGTTCTCCCCATGGGAGCCAGGAAAGTGGGGGGCGATCCAAGTACTCACAGCTGGGAGGCCCTGTGGCGCAAGGCCGCTTGGGCCTGTGCGTCCAGCTGGCCCAGGAGGCTGCAGAGGGCCGGCTGCCTCGAAGGAAGCTGGAAGTGCAGGCTGCCTTTCTCCTCCTCCAGCTCTTCCAGTCTGTGTCTTAACGCCTCGGCTGACAATCCAGGACGGGAGAGAGAGGGATAAAGAACCATGAAATGCCAGATAGGTAATCCCGGGTCCCAGAGCCCCACTCCCCGCCAACGTGCACCTTAACGATGCAGCGCAACCGCGTTCGCTGCCCACACCTCCGCCCTCTGTGAGTGCTTTCGAGAATCTTCTTTTCACTGGCTGCCCAGCCTCCCTACTGTTTGTGCCTCCAAATATCAGAATGTACAGTGTGTGTGTTTATGTCACGGCGATAATGATAGTCATCCTCTGGGAGGACACTTAATATTAAAACCAGGGTTTTCGCTCAGGAGAAAACCTGCTCATTTTGAGGAATCTGAGGTCTTCCACTGAAAAATGTCAGCACCCGAGCTTGGGTTTTAAGACCGTTTCCTTCCAAACTTCCCATCAAGACTGAGCCAGTTATAGTCACTATCGTCAATGAAACAATGTTCCATTTCCACATTATAGATGACCATATATCCACCTCCATTATCAGGCAGGAGTCCTATTATTTTTTTAATGACCTAAAGTTTCCCTAGGACAAAGTGCAGATGCACAATCACTGTAAAACAATTTTTCTCTAGAAAAGTAAACTTGAGAACCTGGAATCCCTTCCAATGAGAAACCTTAACAACCCAACACCTCAAGAATTGGAAAATCTCCCCTAAAGCTATTTTTGAAGAAATAGAAGGACTGGGTTCAAAAATACCATCCATCAGGGGGCACCTGGGTGGCTCAGTCAGGTAAGCATCTGACTATTGGTTTCGACTCAGGTCATGATCTCACAGTTCATGAGATCGAGCCTCGAGTCAGGCTCTGCACTGACAGCGTGGAGCGGGCTTCATGTTCTCCCTCTCCCTCTCTCTCTGTCCCTCCCCCACTCCCTTCCCTCCCTCTCAAAATAAATAAGCCTTTAAAAAATTAATTTTTAAAAATATCACCCATCGGATCTTCCCTCCTGCTGCTCCTTGCCAGGCGAATGGGCAGAAATTTGATGGCCTCCACCCTTGGGTAGAAGGTGGGCTCTGGAGCCACCCAGGATCCCTGGCAGCCACTTCTGGCCATGAGTGCCTACCGCTTACCCTGACATGCAGTGAAAACATTAGCGTCTTCTGTGTGTGCCATGATGGGGAGATATTTGGGAGGCATGACCCCTTAGATCATACTTCTTTACATATCCATGGCCATTAGGCCATTTTCAAGGTAGGCCATTTCTAGAAGACCCAGTTTTATTTGTAAAACTCTTTGGACAAAACTGTTTGCCATATACCAGCCGAGGTCAACGCTAAGCACAGTGCACCCTTGACTTGACACCTCTCTCTTACTGCCCTCTCCCAAGACGCGCACTTGGGCGGAGGAAAGGCAGGTTTCGGGTGCTTTGGGCACACAGCCTCCCCATTAACTTGCCATATACACTGGCACCAACATCCAGGAATCTGCTAAGAGAACTTGCCAAGGATTCATTCTAACAATACCGGAAAGGGCCATTTCCTTACTTCGAGACCAAGTCACAGGGAACTGCCAAGGGCTCTCAATCCGTGCCACCCTGTTCCAAGTGACAGCGGGAGCTAATCCACCAACAACACAGAGACGACTCTGGCCTGGCCATTCTCCCACGGTAGTGCCAAGATACGCCTATTTCCTAACACTGAGAGCCTCAAACTTTTTAAAGAAATGGATTCTATCTTAATTGATTGTTAAATCTTCAATTAATTTTATTACTTAGTTGTTTACTTCATTCGTGCTACATGAAATCAAAACTGCCGCGAAAAGCAGTAAGTGTCTCCTGTGACGTGCTTTCAAATCCCGTCTTCCTGCCGTGGTGACCTGGTGACGTGACGGGAGAGGTGGGTCAAGACGCTATTACACGGGATTAGGACGGAGCCTGCGTTTGCACCTCGGCTCTGCCACTCCTAGCTGTCCCACCTTTCAGCTACTTAACCTGCCTACACATCAGCTTCCTAGTCTGTGGGATCGGGGCTAATAGTAGTATCTCCATCCTGAGGTTTCCCGAGAATCCAATGAGATCATCTGTGCAAAGCATTTAGCACCATGCCCAGCAGCTGAGCTCCCAGCCCACGACCGACCAAAGGGTTGGCTATTTTTAGTAGCACCGTTAGGGAGTGGACTTGGAGTGTTTGAACAGATGTCAGACCTCCAGCCCGGCCTCCCGCTGCCACCGGCTGTGTTCTAAACCGTCCCCTCCCGCAGCCTGGTGAAAAGCCCTCAGGGACTGCAAGCCAATCCAGCATTAAAAAAACCCTGGAAATGGTACATTGGCTGCCCCAAATCACATCCGCCATGAATTTCAAAGAAAAATATAAATTATCCCAGGAAATACCTCTGATTAGCTGTGCTCTGCATTGCTCCTCACCTTCAAAACTGTGACATCTAAGTTACCTCCATGTTATGATTGGAAAAGTGCGCCAGGACAATCACCACTGACTCTATAGCTTATTGTCCCCAATCTCTAATGCCCTCCTCCCCCAGCTTCTCAAATGGCTGTTGGCTACTGAGAGCTCCACCTCACAGGCTGGCATCACCTCTGCTCGGCATTAGGGTGCAATCTACTGGTTCCCCCAAAGTACACTCCTATTCGCTAATTCCCTACTGCGGACAGAGGGAGCTCCCAGCCAGGGCAAAGGCCCTGAGGCAGCGAACAAAGGGGAGAGAGGGCTGGGGTGGACTTGGTCATCAGGGCCGCAGAGCCCACTGCAAGGACTGTCTTGTTTATCTGGTGGGAGGGGCAACCCCTGGAGAGTTCTGAGCAGTGATACGACATGACTGGCTCTTGTTGAATGGGATAAACCGGGTGCTCCCCTGGGAGGAGACCACACGGCAGAATCTCGGAAACTGGTGCCCAGGACCGACATGTGAAACGGGGGATGGTGGAAGGTGCCGGGAGCTCAGATATTCTCTGACAGATGGGATGTTGGGAATGGAGGAAGGCAGAGGTCAGAGTGACTCCAGTATTTGTGGCCTGAGCCACCAGGACAAGGTTACTGTGAGCGGAGTTGGCGGAATCTGCGGTTCCCTCTGCCAGAAACACCCTTCCCCACAGTGACCCAAGCAAGCCGTTCTCCCTCTTCAGCTCTCAGGCCCCTTGGGTGGGCTCCCTGGGCTCTATGCACCCTCAGCACACCTGGCTTCTGCTTGCACGAGGGCCTCATGCTTGTCTCCACTCATTCAAGGCCTCCTGTGCCCATTGGAGAGGGACCGTGTCACCATGCTTGTCACTGTTTAAAGACCTACACGGGGACACTGCCTGGCTCAGAGGGAGCACACGCAGGGAAGTGTCTGGCTACACTCAAGTTAGGTTCCCTCATGGCGTTTCCTGCTTGGTTAAGTTTCCTTAAGCCACTTTACGTCGTTTTCATTAGCAACCAAATGAACATAAAAACGTAAAACTCATCAAGTCTAAAATGAAATCCACCGACTGCCTTGCAAGATTTTACTTTCTGCCACGGGCCCTGACGGGGTCGCTGCCACCCAGGCCCACAGCTTGGGGCTCCTGGGCTTGTCACCTTCCCATGCCTCCACATCCTGGGGGCGTCCACGTCACTCATGCCCACTTCCCCATTACCAGGCAGCCATGTCTCTCACTTCCGCGGGATGAGTCCCCTCTCTGCCTAAGACTCCCACATTCCTCCAGCGTTCCTGCACGCGGCCAGCAGACTGCCCTTCCTAGAGCTCAGGCGTGTACAAGCCAACGAATGAGTAACCAGACCAAGGAATGCAGAGACACCTGCTGCGTCCCCGCACTGTGCCAAGCACATTCATACACACAACACAGAATGTTCTCAGAACCCCAGAAGACTCCCCCCAGCCTCCAGAACAAGGGCCAAACACCTGTGGCTGGCATTCAAGGGCACCATGAGCTTGTTCAGCCGCGCTGTCTTCCCCCACACTGACACTCTGCTCCTTGAGTGGCGCGGTGAGGACACAGAATCGTAGCACTAAGAATCGGAACACCTGAATTCTATCGCCGGCTTCAGCACAGAGCATACTTTTGACCAATCACTTCCTCCAGTCACGTCTCAGAGCCTCATCCGCTAGGTGGGAATAACATCTCCACAAGGTGTTTAATGAAATCGTGGATATTATCTAACAGCAGAGAGGTTGGAAACCACCCTGTCTTCGTCAGCTCAGGCTGCTTTCACATAGCACCACGGACGGGGCGGCTGAACTAACAAATATTGATTTCTCACAGTCTGGGGGGCAGAAGTCTGAGATCACAGTGCCAGCATGGCCAGGTTCTGGGCAGAGCCCGCCATCAGGCGGCAGATGGCCAACTTCTTGCTAGGTCCTCATGTGACCAATAGAGAGTAAGCTGGTCTCTTCTCATAAGGGTACTAATCCCTCTCATGGGAGCGCCCCCTTGTGACCTAATCACATGCCAAAGGCCCTACCACCTAACACCTTCCCATTGGGATTAGGTCTTGACATGCGGATTTGGAGTGTCACAAACATTCAGTCCGTGCATGCCTCCTACAGGGGAGGGAGAAGCTTCAGCCAGAAGAAAAATGGTTCCTCTGGGAGGAAGGTGTGTTTAGAAATGAAAATAGTATTTTTCACCTCCTAAATGCCATGCTTATTATTTCACATATTCACTCAGTTGACAAATACTTCTGATAACTCAATATTGCTAGGCTGTAGGGGCTCAAAAGATGAACAAGATGATTCCTGGTTCTTAAGGTACTCGGTGACTAGGGACAGGGGTCAAAATTACAAACAGGTCTTTTCTTGTCTTCCTGTGCAGAAAAGGTGGCCAGCAACCTGCCCCATTGGTACAGAGGAGCCGTAAAGGAGCACAGGGGTGGTGTGCCCACCACCACCAAGGGTACTGGGGGCCAAGGGGCCTCCGGAAGCCACACAGAGGCCGGCAGTGGCATGCACGGTGGCATGCCCAGTAGCACCTGCAAATGAGGGACATCAGGGGAGAGGGAGAGCAGGTGGGAGAGAGAGCCAGGAGGTTAGGAGATAGGTTACACTGAATAATACACA